TTTCGCGTTAAAGCAACAGGAGGCTCCGAATCAGGAGCTGGGGAGGCAGGGGGTGAGGTTGCCTAATGATATACCTCCTGATTAATGCCTTCCCTTGGCTGGCTTCGTGATTGTGATTACACTCTGGCTGTAGCATAGCAACAGCTAATTGTTGGCTGGATGCAAAGTGCATAATTCCCTGTATTAAAATTTTATTAGGATATAATTGCGTTCATCTTGCAGCAGCGGATGCTTGGGAGATGCCGAGAAGAGTCAGCGGCGCTTTTTGGGGTCCTGCTGCGGTTACCCCCAGCCCCCGGCTCCAGCTGATGGGGTCTGGAGTGTCAAGCCAACTTGGGGACATCGGGTCGTGGTGTCGGGGGGGGGCAGGGGGGGCCCGGGGTCCGCAGGGCCCGGCGCTGGGCTCCAGCTTGGAGGGGGCTGGCTGAGGGCACCTGGGCTGCGGCACCCTCTCGCGCATCGCATCGCGTCGCGGGCAGAATATTCCCTGACAAATTCCCCCAGCAGATAAATTTTCGGGCGTTGACAAATGAAAAGGGAGGTGTGAGAGGCGGTGAAAGGCTGCCGCGTATCGATGCTGCCGGAGGGCTGCGAGGCCAGCACAGGAAGGGTCTGGCAACCTGTTGTTAAGAAGAAACTAAAATAGGAGTTTAGAGCTGCTGAAAGCCCTTTGCTCCCCCAGCACCGCGTCCCTGCTCCTCCAAAATCCAGACAGAGAGGGAAACCTTGAAGAAACTGTATTTATTAACAGTAGGATCACACTTGGCATACTCTATTACTAAGTGGTCCTGGTACATAGATATTATTCACTTAAGTAATCAATCACTGCCAACAAATTACAGGATACAGGGAATGAAATTAGCAAAATGAACTATGGATGTAAAATTCATTTGAAATTCAATTTAGGAGCAACATTAGCTTTCAATTAGTCTGCCCAACTGTTTGAGCATCATTTTGTCTATCAGATTTTTAAATAAATGTAATTAACCTTTGCTGTTAAATTGTTGTTGATTTCATTGATATAATTATTATGCGACTCCTAATATTTTGCTTGGATGATATCTCATTAGCCGGTGGTTTCTAATTAGGGAAACGAAGGACCGGTGGTGGCTTCTAGGCCTTCTTGTTCCCTCTACCTGGTGGAGGGAGACGCTCCAGAGCCAGGAGGTCGGATGTGAAATTTTGTCCAGGGAGGGGACATGACCTGCCCCTGCTGCCCCCATCACAACCGGTCCCAAACTGGTGGAGCTGGGGACCGAGGAGCAGGGGGTGCCAGGGACAGGGGACGGACCACGGGGCGCAGGAGGACGGCGGGGTCCGGCGAATGAAGGCGGCAGCACCCAGATGTTCGACACCTCGGGCGCAGCTGGAGGGGCTGAGAGCGGCTTGTCCCGGGTTGTTTGCGGCAGGGCGGATGGCCGAGGGGGCTGGGTGGGCTTGGAAGGACACTGGTGCTTTTTCGTGCTCCCTCCGCTGCCATTCCCATCCCCGGCACCAGCAGGACGGGTGGGTGCTGAGCCCAGGCAGCGTTTGTCCCTAACGCCGTGGTCAGAAGAGGATATTTGGGGCTTTTCTTTCTGCCCACCGCTAAAGCCCAGCGCAGCTGCTTCAACGCACCGTGTGTGGCCACAGTGGTAAATTCAGAATTAAATTAAGTGTATTTTCAGGCAGGAAAAGCGGGCGATGTCCTGCAGAGAGGAGGGTCGGGGCCCGTCCCGTGGCAGCGTGGCCGTGCTTCCCCTGCTGCCCTCCTGCCCGGCTCTCCAGAGGGGAGACGGAGGGGCCGGAGGAGTTAATTAAAGAGTTAATTTGCAGAGCTGAGGGTCTCGGGGTGAGCAGCAGCTGAGCGGAGCTGGGGTGCTCCCCACGTCACCGGCAGCTCCCCGTCCACTGACAACAGCCCCAATAGTTCTTTTCCCACACCCTCCGAAAGAGAAATATCTTTGACAGTCACTTAATTCCCACGAGTTATTTTTAACAGATACAGCTTTCCCCCTTCAGCTACGTGGAGTTTTGCGAGGTTGTAAATCAAGTTAATATCTGATATATAGGACTAATTCTGCCCCTATTGAAGCCGATGGAAATGTTTCCATTGACGTCAGCGGGAGCAGGATTGATCTCCGTGCATGGACTATTTGTTCCCGAGGTTTTAAGAATTCATTTCCTCCTTCCATTGCCAGAGACAGATAGCAGCAGTGGAGGTAGAGGAGTCATCTAATAACCACATATTAATACATGAATCATCAGCTTAGAGCCCAGTGCAGGAGGAGGCTGAAAGGAGAATAACCGAGCTTGATATCGGGCTGGCAGAAAGAAAGGATTTTGCAGACAGGGCACAGCAGCTAATCTGGAACAAGATAATAATTGCAATGTAAATTTTTTTATGCTAGCATGAGAACTGCTTCTTTTAAGCTCTATTTAAATGCATTACGGTAGACGGGGCCTCTACTGAAATCCCTTCTCCCGTGCTGGAACAAGAGCACCTGCGATATTTCTTTACAATAAACTTTGAGGACACTGTTTGCTTTTGGCTAGGCTCCTAACAGCACGGAAACAAGCCGGGACAGCTGACGTGGGACTGGCAGGAAGGGGCCTGGGGGTTTTACCTGGTCACCTTATTTTTACTATTGCATTTTAATGAAGGAAACTGTCTTTTTTTTTTTTTTTTTTTTTTTTTCATTTAATGATACTTCATGTACAGCACTTCAAGAACTTCTTACATGAGAGCAGAAAGATGTTTTCTGCTTGACCTATTACATCTGCCAAAGTATGTAAAAGCATTGGTGGGATTTTGAACCCATTTGCAATGGAAATTTCTTGGCGCGGCTGGCTCCGGTCGCACGCTCCCTCTGTGCACAAAGAGGAACAGCGGAAGGCAATAACCTTTCATTATCGTAAAATCTCTTTGCATTTTACCCTGTGATTTTGTTTTCACGGTGTGTGACAAATAAGACTAACGAATAACTTAGACAAAGGAGCGGGGTGTGTACGTGCGTTTATTGCCATGGAAACAATCTTTGGGCCGAGCTAAAAGAATAAGTCTTTTAAGACTATTCCTGCTTTGTAAAGCCACCAGAAATCTGACGTTTGAGAGGTCTGGGCAGCACACGACCGTCACCAGCTCACGCAACGTAACCAGGGGTCAGCACCCAGTTCTGCACTTTTTACACCCTTCCTTGCTTACTTCAGTGCACCCCGGGAATGCACCGAGCGACACACGCACCCCCTTTCCACGGCCGCTGGCTTCCCAGACCTCGCACGGGGTGTGCTGGGGCCATCTCCTCTTTGAACTGGGGAAGATTGAAAGACCCAGTTTTGCAACTGCGGGGCGAAGCGCTGAAGGGGACACGGTGATGCCGAGCCCTCACCTCCAGTAAATGCCTTCCCAGGTCTGCTAACGAGGAATGAAGATCGTGCTGTAATTGCGACACGCGCCGAGTGTCTTCTGACTCGGTTAATTTAAAATCAGTGGAAGGTCAAGCCACTGTTTCCAGCCAGAGCTCCCCAAATGTGGATTTTAGCCCCGGAGCAGGGGGTGGGAGTTTGCTGCAGTACAGAACACCTGGAGGCTGGTGGGTTAGGTTGATGTGGGGCAAATCCTCGCGTGACCCACGCGGAAAGCGGGCTGGGAAGGTCGGTGGGGCAGGGGCGGAGGGGGCAAAGCTGCAAAACACAACTTCCCAAACCCAACGGGGTCGGATCCAGCCTTTGGCCGGCTGAGCGCCGCTCGCGCTAAGCGGAAAGAGCTTTACAGAAGCTGCAGGCAGAAGGTGAAAGCTGCTAAAGGGAAATTTGGTGTCTGTCTCCCATGCGGGGATGAGGAGTTTTATTTCTGGAGGGAAAGGTTTGGGAATCCTCATCTCTGAGCACCGAGGAGGGGAAACGTGTCACCACATGTCCCGGCGAAGGGCTAAGGAGGGGATTTCAGCGTGCGGAATAGAAATGGGTAAAATTTAGTTCATGGAGCAAGTAATTGCCTTCACTTCAAGAGAAAACCAGACCAAAAAAAATCAGCAAAAGGTGAAGTTTGCAATTGTTTGGGGAACCAAGGCGTGGCTGCCAACCGACCGGGTGTTCCCGAGACTTTGCACCCCAAAAGCAGCAGAGCCGGGGCGGGTGGGAGACCCCCCCCCCAGCACGGCCCAGGCCGGGAGGGGGTAGGAAAAATCACTGTTCTGCCCCCCAAAAAAACCCCAAGTTTTCTACCGGATTGCCACGAACCCGACGGGTTATTGTAATTTAAAAACCCAACCGCCGCGGGTTATTTTAATTGAAAAAACTCTCACTGATGATTTTAATTAAAAAAAAAAAAAAATCCCCCTCCAAGCCCGCCCAGGTTATTTTAATTAAGGTCGGGGCGGCAGCAGCGCCCCGATCGCGCCCCCGCCACGTGCGCGCGGGGCGGGGCGCCACGCAGCCAATAGGCAGCGCCCCCTCCGCCCCATAGGCCCGCCTCCCCCTCCTGCGCACCCCATTGGCCGGCGGCAGGCCCCGCCCACACCCGCCGTTCTCGCGGGAAGTAGGGGCGGGGTCGGCCCGCCCGTTCCCCCCCCCCCCCCCTCCGCTCCGCTCCCCCCACCACCGGCGCCGGGGTTCTGCCCAAGCGCTGCCGGTCCCCGGGAGGCCGCCGCCGCCCACCCCGCCTCCCGGACCGGCGGCACCGCGCAGGTAGGGGCGGCACCGCTGGCTGGAGCGGGGTGGGGTGAAGCGGTGGCTGAGGGGGGGGTGAGGGGCATGGCATGAGGGTGGAGGGGGGGGGGGCGCGGCCCCGCCTCGGGGCCGGTGTCTCCGGTACAACGGGCCCCGCCGCTCCCCGCCCCGTCGGCGCCGCTGTCACGGCGCGCCCCACGCCCCGCCATTGGCCGGCGCCTCCGTCTCGCCCCCGCCCTCCTCGCTCCCATTGGCTGGGGTCACCGGATCGCCCCCCCGCCCTCCGCGCTCCCATTGGCTGGCGCCGCGGGGAGGCGGGGCGCAGCGCTTTGCCCCCTTTCTCCGTGCGCCCCCGCTCCCCCGGCGCCGGGGTTCCGCCGCCAGCGAGGCCCCGCACCCCGCAGGTAGGAACCGGCTGCTCCCCCCCCCCCCCCCCCGCTCCGCTGCGCGGGGGGCTCGCTTCACCCCCCCCCCCCCTCCCCCCGAGAAGCCTCTCTCAGCCCCTCCGGAGGAGCCACGGGCCCCGCGCCCCCTCCTCAGCTGCGGGCGGGCCCCCCCGCGGCCCCCTCTCCCCTCAGCGGGTCGCGGTAACGGGGCTCTCCGTGATGGCGGGTTATGTCAGCCAGCGGCCTGGGGCTGCTGGGGAGGGGGCCGGGGCCAGCCGGTGCTCTGGACGCGCTCGGCCCAAAGTTGGGAGGTTTGGGGATTTTCCCCAGAGCTTTGCTAACGGTGGGGGTGGGGGGAGGAATCCGGGCTGGGTTTTGCGGGAGGGTGACTTCTCTTTTTCCACCCGGTGGGATTCCGGCGCTGCCTGGAAAAACCTCCAGTTGAAGGTTGAAGCAAACTCTAGAAGGACTAATTGTGCTAACTGAGGCCTCCCAGCTCCGGTACAACCCGGGGTGTTTCTCTGAGGGGAGGCAAAACTGCCTCCTCCTCCTCCTCGGCAGCAGGATGGGGGTGTCATCTGGGGAGACGCGGGGGTGGCTTGTGGCCAGCGCCTGGTTGGGCTTGGAGGGTAGTAAGGAATCATGTTTAATCACGTAGTGCAACCTGGCTTCTGCTGGGTGGGAGGGGGGTGAATATTTTCGGAGGTTGGCTCCCAGCACTGTGCTGAGGCAGCTTGCCTTGAACCCAGGGAAAATGCTGGAGTGGCCGCATCGGGTGCTGGGCTGGCCCTGCTCAGGGGTGGGGGCTCTTTGGCTTCGTCAAGGCGTTCTGTGTGCGTTTGTGTCTGTGCCTGAGACACCAAGGTGACAAAAACAACATGAAGGCACTCGCAGTAAGGCCGAGAGGCTTAGTCAGGTGTCCATAAAGCTGAACTCAACTCCAGAATACTTTCTTTAGTTATTCACTGGGAGCTTAAGACACATCAAGCTTTGTCAAACTAAGTTCTGAAACCGCTTCCATACCAGCAAACAGCAGGTTTCCTGGTGCTTCTGGAATCAGCAAAGTAACAACCACCTGTAAACCTATTTATGTGAAGGGTTGCTGCGTGCTCCTAGCGAGTGCTGTAGCAGGTGTAACGAGATGAAATCAACTTTTTTAGGAAGGCTGCAGCTAAGTGGGCTTTGTGCTGGAGGTGCGTGAGTGCAGGAGCAGTCACCCTCCTTAATAGGACTTAATTCAAGCAGAGGTGGCCTGTATGTGCTCTTCATTTTTCCTTCTGGAATCCACACCCACTTGAACAGCGTGAAGAGGAGAAAACCTGATCAACGCACTCTGTGGGAAGGGGAAAATTAAAATAATATCCATGTTTTTTTCAAGGGCTAGAACGAGTGCAGGTGAGTACTCAGATAATGAGGACAGTACGTTCCAGGATTACATCTGCTCTGGCTTTTTTCAGTATACAACACGCAGATCAGCTGCTACAGACCTCACGCATGAAGCTGTGGAAGATGTCTCATAACAAAGGAGATTTGGGGCACTTTATTTTAAGGCAAAGTCACGAGAACACAAATAAGTGGTGCTTATGCTGTACTTGCAGATAGGTTTGAGCGTCTGTAGGCTGTTTTGCGTCTGCCCATTTTGAGAAGCGCAAGAAGGATGCGTGATAGTAGTATTATGATGCAAAGTTTTAGCTAATATATTCTGCCTTTAAGCAAAATTTTCATGTTGCAAAGGCAAATACCTCGCAGATTCCCAGGCAGTGGAGGAGGATCAGTGTACGTACAGGAGTGGGATCTTCCAGTTCTTCCACATGATGCTTGTTGGCTTCAGGGGAGTGCAGCCCAAAAAGTGGGGGGGGTTTGTTGTTGTGGTTTTCTTTTTATTTTTTGTTGTTGCTTTTAATTCTTTTGACTATTAGGAACTTGAGCCTTTTAGCTTGTTCCATTAGACATAGGAGTTGCCAGTAGTTAATAGTTCTGCTAGTTAGAGCTGGCCAAGCAAGAAAGGTTTTTAAGGACATTATGTGCTTCTAAACTTGGCTAGTTGTAACAAGCCTTAACAATATTTAATATATCTGTAGAGGTGTCTTGCCCTGCTGAGATGCTCTTTGGCATAGTTGTGAAACCTGGGTGAAATATTGCATTCTGATTATTTAAAGGCATTGTTTTCCCTTCCGTGAACTCCTAACCCTTCAGATATAGTCAGTGATCAATAAATGTAATTGAGGTCAAAGGCATCTCGATTGTCCAGGTGCTCTTTGTACCTTTTTAAAAAAAGCAAATCCCTTCTTACTGAGATATGATGTAACTTCCCTGGCTATTTTGTCTGCCCAGCTTGTGGACATTGGCTTTTGACATTGTGCTCTAATAAGGTAGGAAGACTCGCTTTAATAAGGATATACTGGCACATGTCCCTTCAGGTGGTGCCTTGGGAAGTCATTTGACTTTTCATGAAGTAATAATTTCAGTGTCTACCTTTGGGATGGTAGCTATTTCTTTTTTTTTTTTTCTTTTTTTTTTTTCTTCTTTTTAATAATCAATAAAAGTATCCTAAAGCACAGACTGGGCAAAGCTGGCCCTCTTGTATCCTGCAGAGTGTTACACAGCTAAAAATTAGTAGGGGCCTGAAATGATTAGTATCTGGCTGGTGGCCCAGAAAGAGGGAAAGCTGGGTCTGGCAGCGTTTGACAGTAATTTTCTGTAAGACAAGTGTCCTTAGCTCTTTCATTGTCCAATTGATTCTTTAACAATAGGGCTCCCATTTGTAACGCTGAGTCTACAGTGCTCCTCCAGTGGGAAAAACAAGAGGTGTGCTAGTTGCCGGTTAGTGCACGTGCTAGAGTAAACAAGAGGTCTTGGGTGACTGCTCCAGAGAAATATGTAAAAGGTGTAAAAAAAACAAACAGGAAGAAGAAAAAAAAAAAAACCAAACCAAAAAACCAAACAAACAAACAAAAAAAACCCAAACCCCACACCCAAACAAAACCCAACCAACTAAAAAAAGCCCCCAAAAAAAACAAACTAAAGCAAACCCCAAAGCCTCCCCACAATAATACTTGGCAGGAGTGGCAATGGTTGCCTATGGTACCGTTGTAGGGTGAGCAGGTGATACTCAAAACTGCTGCTTTGTGGTGGTTTTGCCTCATGGCCTTTGGTGGTTTTCTTCTTTCTGTCCAGGCTCTGTACTCCTTTGGCAAGAAAGAGGAAATAATAAGTTGGATTTCACTGAGGTTACATTGAAAGTAGCTCTTTTTCTCTGAGCGTTTAATTGAACCATAAGATTAAAAAGCATCCACTTGTGGTGTTTCTTAAACTGATTACTTTAGTATTTGGGTATGCTTTTAATGAACTAGCTTTCATGTCTGAGCCACAGTCAAAACTTTAAGATCTAATTTCTGCTGGTTTTCAAAGCAAGTTGACTCATCAGTTTAGCCTTGTGCTGCAGACCTAAAATGTCGGAAGACGTTCCCCTTTTACAATGTTGCCATTTTGTGATTTTCCTATTTTTCCCTAGGGCTAAAATTCTGATGCTCCTAAATAAAATTTGGGGGAATAAACACTTGTATTTGGGGACTCTTTGCTCATGTGAATACGTCTAGTGCAACTTTAGCTTTTCAGTAGTTACGCTGGATTTTCACTTAGCGTTTCTAGAGCAAAATGTAAATTTGCTTTCCTATCGGCGCTCGCTATTTTCTTGACTCCCCACTCCGTGCTCCACAGTTGCAGCTTTTGCTTCTGTTTTTTCACCTCCTCTTGGCATTCTTTTTGCTTCCTGCTCCTTCAAGGTGTCTTGTCGGCGCTGGAGCACGGCATGTCCTCTGCTCGTGATCGGGGGGCCGCTGGTTTTTTAATCCCTCCTTGCCACCGCTCTTTGTGCCGTGCTTGCTGCCAGAGCCACAGGTGAGCCTCGGCACTTGCTTTTAATCTGAGTGAAGCAATGTGCAAGCCCGCAGGGTAGGAAGACTTTGTAATGATCTAGCTAGTATTTAACAAAGTTTACTTGAAAACTGCACACAGCTTCTCAGCTGTGTTTTAAATGTTAATATTGAATTTGAAATATTGGAGGTGACAGATAAAATGCATGGTAATGAGATCCTTCTAAAGAAAGCTCACTGCTAATTCCAAAGGAAATGAGCTTTTAATTAGTGTCTTATCTCAAGTATGCCACCTTTTCTTTTTTCCTCGTTTATATTGCTTGTATTATTAGCGTTAAAGATCAGCTGGTGTCCCCTGATACGGGGACCAGTTGGCTGGTGTCACTTTATAAAATCTGATTTACAGACTCTTGATTACATGTAGCTTGTTGATCACAAAATAAATTGGTTTGGCCATGTTTTCACGTGTTAGAATTTACTGTTGTTTAAAGTCATGCCTTTGGAAATTAAGATGTTCAGGGCAAACCTGTGTTGCTGCCTGTGAAATATCTACCGTATAGATAGAGGCTTTGGAGCACTGAATCTTGGCTCTTTCAGGAATGAGAGATTCTCTGTTTCATTATTATAAAAACCTTAACACAGAATTTTCTGAAGTAACTGTAAGGTTAGCCACTCAAAAAACCCCCAAACCTCAAAAAGCCTTTTAGCTTGAGCTTTAAAATGACCTTGGTAAGGTTGAAAACAATAAGGTTTCTGTTTGATTAAGGTTCTTTTCAAATGGCAATATTAGTTTAAGAATATGTGAAATAGCAGGTAACATTTTTAAACTTCAGCAAGCGTTCGTGTGGTCGGAATCCAGATTGAGAGACGTGCATAGATGATTTGGATTAAGGATTGAAGTCTGCCTAACAAAGCTCACTTGAGCAGAGGGTTTCCATATCTAGGAAGGTCCAACATTTCGGCTCTGGATATTCCCTGGAGAAGGTGCTGGGGAGGCCCCACGCTTCAGCAATGGGAGTGGTGGCGACCTGCATTTGCTGAGATTTAGGGCTAATGCATAGACCCACCAAAAAGCAAGGCTTCCTTCAAGGTCAGTGTTTCCTGTCCTGCTGCTTGCCATGAAAAATTAAGTGTGTTCCAGAGTATTAGAACTTTTTCTGCACCCCCTGTAGGGTGCTTGTGAGTTTAGTTTAGGCTGTGTGTTTCGGTGAGAAGCCTTCTGAACCGGCAAGTTTGATAGAGTGTCCCCAAGCTGGTCTAGCACAGAAAATGGGGCTGTTGGTGTGTTTCTTTTCCTCTTTTTAATTACATCAGGGTATGCAGGAAATTCCAGAAAGTTTTGGAACAAAACCAGTTCATCAGGAGCTCCTAAAGCCGGTGAGGCAGTGGGGCATCCCTCAGAGGTGAAAACTCAGGAACTTTTATTTGTGCTTCTCAATCCTGGAGATACCAAAGGTTGACCTCACCCTCGGTAAGCGTATCTGGTGCTTGAAAAGGCAGTTTTGTTAAACTTTGGTTTCTGTTGAAAGTTAAATGATTTCCCCGTTTCTTCCTGGGCGTGGTTTTCCTGAAGAAGGATTTTTACTGTTTTCCTTGTAGAAGAAAGGAAGTCTCAATCTGAACAAAATGAGCTTATTTTACCAGTTGATATATTTAATTTCTATGGGAAATTCAAATATAAATCTTTGCAACAATACCAAATGATAGCAATTAATTCCTGCAAAGAAAAGCTTGAAGAAATAAAGCATTGTTTCTTTCAGTTAGTCGAAATGGGCACGTCAACCACGCTTCCTACCCTGCTTCGTTAACAGCCCGTTAGCTCAGCTACAGGCAGGCAGTGCCATCCAGGCTGCAAAGGTAACTGTGCCAAGAAAATCCTCTTTAAAAATCATGCCCTACAAGTGCAGTTCTTGTTGCTTATGGAGGGATACGTTCCCACAAAATACCTAACCTGGGCAGCTGATATCTCCTTCTAATTTTTGAACGCTTGCGGTATTTGCCACGTTTTTAGATCGAGTTGTTTAAATGGACCTGAAGGTTATCCAGTCAGGTAGCCTTCACACAATATTTGATTTTACTTTTTTTTTTTTTTTCCTTGCACTCGTATTTTCGGGGAAAAGTTGTTGGATTGCCTCATGTAGTCTGATGTTACATGAGACAGCTACGTACTGTTTTGACTGAATAAGAAATAATGGATGGCTGCTGGCTTAATTTTCTTTGTAATGATTTGTTGTAAGCAGCATTTGAACAGATACAGGGATTGATTGTTAAATTTCTTATTGAGCTGACTATTTAAGAGCATGGTTTGCGATTACAACTAGTTGTCATAAGCAAGTAAAGCAGAGTTAGTGTGCTGACCTGGATGTGTTTAGCTGCTGAGTGTCTCAAGCCTTTAGAGAGAGATGTCATAACGCCTGCAGGAGCCTCTGTCAAATCAATGTACTCTTCCGAAAATAGGATTCTGGCTTGTGGTTGGAAGTGGAGGGGTTTTTGAAAAGAACTTTTTTTAATGATTTATGCTTCTGCTTTTTGATAATCATAAAAAATTTTCTTTGCCATATATTGTTAAAAATGTCAACTTTGATTTTTAGGAAATGGAGCTATGACTTCAGGACCTATTTACTCAGCAAGCTCTCCTGTTGAAAAGGTACACAAATATAAAGTTGAATATGGGAGGCTGCTGGTTATGTTGTCTCTGCTGATTGTGTTAAATTCTTTTAACAAAATGGAATTGTGTTGACTGTATGCTGTATCTCAAGGACTAATCGGCTCTTGCCATCCCTGCTGTTTAATGTAGGCTTTCTTAAAAACCCTAAGAAGCTTTCCTCTCCTAGTAGGGCTTTCAGATGTCTCTTTTCCTAATGATAAATGTCAACAAATGAGATCAGAGCATGTCCTGCTGCAGTAAGGGAGAAGTGATTGTCTCCATGTAGTGTTTGGTTTTGTTTTGGCTTGGTTTTTGTATTTTGTTTCTTTGCCGTTTTGTTTTGGATTTAGTTTGGGGTTTGGGTTTTTTTTGTTTTGTTGGTTTTTTTTTTTTTTTTTTTTTGGCTACACTGTTTCTAGATGTAGCTGAGAAACCTAAATAGATCACATACTTCATACTGCAAAGGCGGTGAGTGTTTTGGTGATGTGTCTGGTTGTACTCAAAAAGAAAATTCAGGTTTAGGCAGGGCTGGCTGTGCGTGCCCGGCAGCCTGCTGTCCCCGCGGGTGCGTGGCTGGGGTTGGCTGCGAGGTTTTCTGCAGTTTGAAAATAAAAAAAGTAATGAACAACATGCACAGCACTGGGGTTGCTCTACAGATGAAGAAAAGGAAGGATGAGGCATCTGTGGAAGAACAGGGAAGATGCTGAGTATAATTGGAGTTGTTGTGATTTATTATTTTTTTTTAATCTATTCTTAGAGTTGTGCACCTCTGTTTCACACTATAACTGGCTTTGAGTGGGTTTTTTCCTTGCCCACATGACACACTTGCACTGGAGCTGCCATACAGAAGGTGAATTTAGATAAAATCTCTATTATACGCCAGTCCCACAGCAGAGATGTTGGAGATCTGCATGCTTTTTACAGTGTCAGCCATCTTCCTCCACATGTTAGTGAGTTTTGCTATATTTTTTTTGGTGCACTGAGTATTCTTCCAGAAAAATCTGAATTTCCCAGGAAGTTAAACTGTCAGAAAATCTACTTACTTTTGGGTTGGTGGGAGGAACAGCTTCATCCTGCTCAGCCATATGTTAGTGGTAACTTAAAGCCAGCGGGGTTTTAGGATTAGAAAAGGGTAAGAGCTCGGTCACCTCCACAGCCTGGACAGACCAGGACCCCCAGCACTCGGTGAGCGGTGTTACAGATGTACCGTTGCCCTTTAGCTTGCAAAAATAACTTCTTGATGCCTGTGGCCTCGCAAGCACTAGGCTGTTTCTCACCCTGAGCACCCAGCTTTCACACACACACACCCCCCCCCGGTAAGGGTGCTGCGTCCTGCTTTTGGGATCATCTTCCAGCCATTCCCTCGCTTCATGGGCGCATTGCAACCAAGAAATGTGTTGTTTGTCCTCTTTTAAGCTATTTTCAGTGCTTCTGTCAGCATGCAGCGAGCTTTCTGCAAATCCCTGCTCTGTAGCTGAAGCATCAAGTACCTCTGGTGCCTAAGAGCATGCCACCGACGCCGGGGTCAGCCGGCCTGTTGCACTTCTGTCGGAGGAAACCCAGTGGAGGTAACTGGACCTTCCCACTGGGAGCCCTGGCGAGCCCTGGCAGCAGCATTTTGAAGGCAGCTGAGCGTGCACACAGCGCAGGTTGTGCAGCAACTTGCCATGAAATCTCAGCTTGGTGCACAGTACCTTCACACTTCCATTGGCATGGTGGCAATTCGTAGCTTGGATGCTTGCGCGCAGTGAGCTCGAGGTGGCCAAGCAAAGTAGGTCAGTTATTTTTAAGTGTAATGATTAATTTATAAATGCCATTATTTTGTAGAGGCAAGGTAGATCTAAATACTCAGTCTTATGCGATCGGGGGCTCTTTGCAACGGAAAACTGGTGCTTCACAGTAAACAAACGCTTTTGCAAGGGAGAGCTAGAAGTAAGTGGAAAGGATTATTTTTAAGCTTTAAGCTTTGCATGTCTGGAGGTTTTTCTTTAACATGAAATGGTTTTAGAACAGAAAATCCTTCGTGGTATGTAATGCTTCCAAAACCCTTGGCAGATGGGTAACTTTGTTTCCAAACATCAAATGTTTTAGCTGTTTAATGCCTGTTTTTAAGCATGAACAGCACTCTTGGAGAATGTTCATATTAAGCCTGCCGGGAATTAGACTTTTAAAAGAACTGTTTCTATTATGTTATCACGAAAAGTGAAGAATTATGGAAGACTTAACACAACACTTGGACTCCTTTGCATAAGATATAAAATAACATCACACTGGGGAAAAAAGAGGGGGAAGTACACTCCTGCCCTGGTGTTTAACCCTCTGTAGTAACTGAAAGGCTTATGTTTGCTTTCCTCTGGTAGGGAAGTTGCTTTACATCAAAATAAGCTGTGCATGCACACAGACAGGTTTTTGATGTGCAGTATCAGAAACTTTGGCCACTCACTGGCAAGAGTAGGATCAGCACCTTGCTGAGAGGTGAGACTGGACAGATGCAAGAAAAGGTATTCTCTTGGATTTAATGTCTGCCAGATGCTTCCTCAATAGTCAGGGGTCTCATTTCCACTAGATGTTTCAGTAGAGGGCTTTTTTATCACTGAATGCATAGTTTATTACTCCTCTGGACAGGAGGTTATGTATCCCTATTGGTATAATGTGGAGAAAGTTGGTTACAATACACATCTAGTCCTTAAACTGATATTTGCTCTTTGAACTACATCTAGAAATAAATATCTGGTGCGTTATATCTTACAGAAGTATTACATCTATAGAAGGTGAATTTGATCTTAAACTTTAAGCCGAGTGGGTCACAGAGCTGAGAATTGCAGTAAACACCAGCAGCGACTGTTACGCTTCAGACAAAGGATTTTGCACAGTTCTGAGTTTCCTTAGAAAGGCAAGTCCTGGCATTGGTGTTCAGTAACAGTATTCTTGGTATTTGTGGACTGTAAAATTTATAGAGTAATAGATATGCAAATGGGCTGCCACAACACTGCAGGCTGTATGGTAATGCATAATTGTGACACGTTTTTCAGCTATTTGCAAAAAATTGGCTTTCTTGCAGGAGTGAGATTTATCAAGTTCTCACCTTTTTAAAGATATAATTCTCAAGTCTCTTACCTAAATACTTTTTTTTTTTTTTTTTCCTGTGTGTGTCTGGGGGAAAATGAACGCTTACAGATCATTTGCAGAACCGCCACGTTTTCACGGCTGTTCTTCATGTTCAGAAGACTTAAGGTGATGCTGTGTTTATCTGACAGTTACATGTGTGTTTATAAAAAGGGCAGAGTATCAGGAGGTCAAAAGCTGGTCTGTTCAGGCCCTGAACGGTCAGGTTTACTCTCAGCATTTGCTGGGGGTATAGTGCTTGCAAGGTGCATGTTCTTGTGACAGTGGAGCAGCACGCAGGATTTTGGTTTTGCAGACTCTTGTCAGTCATGCATTCTGATTTGGTCTTAAGTCTACCTGTATGATTCGAAAAAAAACCTGTCATAAGTTTTTTAACCTATGTAAATGAAAAAAAATATATATATACATTATCAGTCTTCCCCTTTAGTACATGTAAACATTTGCATTTTCCCTCATGTGGGTTGCATAGTGTGCGGTTCTCATCCCACATATTCTATACTGTGCATAATCCCAGGTACACAGCTCGTTGCATTTGCTTGGAGATGTATGCTGTAACTGTAGGCTTAATCCTTGCTGTGGCAACTATTTTAAAATGACCATCTGTAATGCTTTGTGGTAAAATGCTTCTTGCTCCAGAAGGACCACTGACCAGTAAAACTTGCTTTTTTTTTCCCCCCCCCCCCCCCCCTAACTAACTACAACTGAAACTGATTCTACCAGGTTCAGTCCTTATATCCCATTTCCATTTGAGCAAATAGAGGTTATCCTGCCCACATACAACTTGTGGTGCACTGCATTTTAATACTCATGGGATTGTTAACAAGTTCCCTGCCTGCTTGACAATGAATTTCCAATTTTGCTGCTATAAAGTTGTCCACTTCTCCAAGAAGATTTAAGCTCTCTTTGCAAAATGTTGCAGTGTAAAAAATATCTAACAAGATGTTTGGCTTGACTCGTGACATTGCTTTCTCATCTTAACAGCTGACGTGACTGCCAGCAGTGCGCATTTCCCCTTAAACGGTTTCCCAAAGTGGAAGGACTCCTTGGGGACTGGAGTGGGGTTTCTTATTTTCTGGTCTTTGCTGTCAAAGCAAACCCACCTGCATCCAGCGTGTGGGATTGCCAAGACCCTTTGAAATGAGAGTTGACAGCAGAGGAGTTTTGCTGTGGCTGGAAGAGAGTCTGAAATTAGACCTTGGATCAAATGTCTTGTATTTGCGACTGTCTGAAGACTAAAGGCAAAACTCGTCTCTCCTGGTCCATGGAGGTGTTGGCAGAGCCATCCCCACGCCCTGCACAGGGTGGGTTTCATAGAATCATAGAATGCCAGGTTAGAAGGGGCCTCAAGGATCAGCTGGTCCAACCTTTCTGGCAGCAGCCTGGTCTCGACAAGGTGGCCCAGCCCCCCTGTCCAGCTGAATCGCAACGTGCCCCGTGCTGGGGAATCCACCACTTCCCTGGGGAGATTATTCCAGTGGCTGATTGTTCTCGTGGTGAAACGTTTTCCTCTTGTGCCCAACTGGAATATCCCCAGGAGTCACTTGCACCCGTCACCCCTTGTCTTTTCCATCGGGCGCCTTGCACAAAGGGAGTCTCCATCTCTTTTGCAGCCACCCTTCAAACCCTGGAACGTGGTGAGAGGGTCTCCCCTCAGCCTTCTCTTCCCGAGGCTGAACGAACCCAGCTCTCTCCGCCTTCCCGGCCCTTTGATCATCTCTGTGACCCTCCTCTGGGCCCTCTCCAGTCCGGCCGCATCTTTTTTGCGTAGCGGGGACCAAAACTGAACACGATATTCCAGGTGTGGCCTGGCAAGTGCTGAGTAGAGCGGGACAATGACTTCTGTGCCTCTGCTGGCGATGCCCTCGCCGATGCAC